GTGGGAAGATGTGACCGTGACGCCGGGCTCAAGGGTCACCCGCTTTAAAAACCTGGTGGCCACATAACAATCAGGGGGCAGCGCGTGGCTTCAAGGAGGCCCCGTTGCTGGATCCAGATTATGGCCCAGAAGGCATGGGCATGGCTGTTGCATTTTCCTCCTATGCTTCTCTAGGCGGAAACCCACTGGGCGTCAGTTGTGGGCCCCCCGACCCATTGTGGGCCTTGGCAAGTGCCCAGCGATGCTGGCCTTGGGAAGCCTGGGACAGGCCAGAGCCCATCTGCCGCCTGGCTGGGTTGTATTTCCAGGAAGAAAGCTTGTGGGGAGATGAGGAGTGGGCCTCCGTGCAACGGTTCTGTTCTGGTACCGAAAAACGAGCTCCTGGGCTCGAAGGATACTCTGGGGTGTGGTGCGCTTTCATTCTTACTCTCTTGTCAGGGAGAACGTCACAACTGGGTGACTTTAGGCCTTGGGAGCAGCAAGGTACCTTCAAGGGGGCCCCTTCCTGAGCCAGCCAACCCTCCCCACCACTGTGGCCGCCATCCTCTTCCTCATCACGTGCTTGCTCCTGGCTGGCCAGAGAGCCCGCGGGCAAGAACCAGCTGCATCCCTGTCTTCTCAGCAGCACTGCTGCTTGCCCGGGACGAGAGGCCAGTGAGCAGGTCAGAAGCAATGGAGAAGAAGAGGAACACGCCCAAGGGGTCTTGCCAGTGGGACCTTGCACAGGGCCCAGGGGTGCCTACCCTTGGCGCTGGCCCTGGTAAGTCCCGTTGAACTCCACAGAGCTTACGTCCATGAACAGGATGGCGCTGTAGATGTACAGAGATTACCCCGCTTTGCTTTGTGGGTCTTAGGATACTGCTAAAGTTGATCTAACGCACCTGCAGGATGTTGGGCCAGGCTAACAGAGATCAAGACCTCCACTTCAGCATCGGGGCCTGCCTGACAGCCACTCCTCCCAGGGGTGAATATGGGTGTACAGCCAAGGTAAAAACTGCTCCGACAGCAGACAGCAGCTCCTTCTGGTCCAACCTCCGTTTCTAACAGCTGTCAGCCAGATGTCTCTGGAAATTTCCAAGCAAAGAATGACAATGAATCATCTGTTGTTTGTCCCCAGCTCCTGGCTGCTCTTATGCGCCAGTTGTTTGTAAAGCTGTTCTCAAGCCTCGCCGTGCTCTTTCTTCCTCTAAAAAGTGCGTTGCGCCATTTCCGGGATGTCGCTTTCCCTGAAATGTAGCTTTTAGAGCTGTGCAATGGATCCGTCTTCAGAAGAGCTGGCAAGGGTGCCATTGGCCCACAAAAACCCATATTTTGTAATATTTTTATGGTCAAAAGAGCTTTTTAAAGGGTCCTTGTTGTTCATAATTTTAGCAAAATTAAAAAGCATCCTTTTACATCATGAGTCCATGGCTGGCTAAGTGTTTGTCACTCCCCTTTAGGAAATCAACATGAATTTGTAAAAAAATCTGACTTGGTGCAATAGCTGGTGGAAGTAGTGCTTAAGTCCCACCATAAAACTGTGGGTCCCCCCCTCCACACACACACACACACACACACGTGTGTGTCCATTGTGTGGGGGCAGGAAGGACGGAAATGCTCCCGATCTTGTCTCCTGCATTACCAGCAATTTTGAAGGCCAGACCGCAAAGGCGTTGAATCATTCGATCAGTGCAGACGCTTTTCAAATGGAGGCAGCTGGCCTGTAAGTGCTGGGATGAGTAAGCTGAAATCCAGCAATGGGACTATTCACTAATTGACTTGGAGAATGAGCAAGGAGGAAGGAGATTAGCCAGGTTCAGCCAAGGCCTCCAGGAAGACGTTCAACAGCTGCTTATTTCTGGTGTTTGCTGTTTTAAGGACAAAGCATCGCACAGTGCAGGGAAAAACTAGGGCAGAAAGCTTGGGTGGATCTCTTGGCTGAATTTTCGGTCTAGTCTCACTGTGATTTTTCTGAAGTAAACATAGCTTATATAGAGGCACTGGCGTTCCAAAGCAAGGCATGATGGCTGTAATATTTACTTCATGCAGCTCAACCTCTTAAAAGGGACTAGCTCCCCAGATGTGCCAAGATGCTTGGCGAGCGGTTTTGTATGTGTCCACCAGGTACAAGTCTCACTTAATGGGACTTCCTCCAGAGAAGCATGTATACTGGGTTACTGCCTAGGTTGTGGAGTCACAGTGCTGACACCTCCTTGTGTTTTGCACAGCCAGGGGGACAGTGCAAGTGTGGTTTTCCTTCCCCTTGCTCCAATCTCCTTGTTTTGCCCCAGGGTGGGAGAAGTCAGGGCTGCTGGCTGCTCAAAGGACATGCTGGCTCTCCAAATTGTGACTGCGAGACCCATATTTTTCCTCCAGGCCTGACCTTCGTCATTCACTTCAGGGAGAGCAGGCATCGTCTCCGGGTGGCCAGCACCAGAACCCTTTATAAACTCCTCCACTCCCCTTCTTCTCACCACAAATGATTAGCACGATGGCTGCATGTGGGAAGACTGTCTAATATGCACATCAATGGCCTCTGCAACTGTTTACGTAAGAAACCAGATTTCCCTAATTGTAAACAAGCTACTACCGCTCTCAGAGCTTCAGTGCAAACGGTCTGGACCCTCCAAATTCCAAAATGGTTTGTCCTGGCTTGCCCAGTAAGAGGGAAATGGTGGCAGGAGGCATGACCCATGATGCTCCAGTATTGTGCATGGGGGTGTCATGGAGTATGGAAGCAACTTGGGACAGGAAACTGTCCCATAATGCCTCTGTCTCAGACAGGGTTACACCAAGAGGCTCATGGGACTTCTTGGAAGCAAGCTATCCCATAATGCCCTAGCATAGGCCATACTTGTGGCCGGAGGACGCAGAGGCTCATGGGAGATCCTCCCACAGAAGGTGAACTTTCCTTTCTTTGGAAAGTGCCACAAAGCGCCTGGCTCCCCCAAAAGGGACGCGAGGCCCGCCCGGTCCTCCCGCAGCCTCACAGGCGCTCCTTCACCGCCTAAGAGTCGACGAATCAGCGCGCAGAACTTTCGCTCGGTTCCGCCTCTTAGGGACAGCCTGTCCAATCAGCGCCGACATGGGCCGCGAGGAAAAGAAGCCGTTCGAGGCAGCCACGCCCCCACGTCGTCGTGACAAGCTGATGCGCATGCGCCGGCTCTGAGAGCCGCGTGCCCAGTGAGCCGGATTTACCCACCGTCCTCTCTGACATCAGTTGTACACCCGCAACCCTCACTTCCGGTTTCCATTCGAACTTCGCCCTAGGGGAATATCAGTTACATAATATACAAGGGCTAGCCGCTCTACGCTGCCCTCCGTAGTCTCTATGAACCACCGGAAGTGTCCGTACTGTCATTTGCGCTTCTGGCAACTTAAAAAGATTCCTCAGTCCATTCGGACCCCGGCGAGGGGACAGAAAATCCTCTGAGGTACGTCCGCAGACCTTCGCGCGCATCTCTATACGCGCACATGCCTAGTTCGGGCTCGGAGGGATTCGGCGCATTATATCCCGGAAGTGCTCCGCTCTAGCCTTCCCCGAGCTCTCCGTCGGAGGGAGGTGCGGCGGCGGCAGGCGCATGCGCACCGGCGGCGTCTCCGTGGAGAGGACGCGCTCGGCGCGCGCGGGGGCGGTGTCGCCGCGGCCCGCTTCCGAGGGGCGGAGGCGGGGCGGGCGCGCGCCTGCGCCGTGGGCCGCGCGCGCCTGCGCAGTGCGAGGCTCGCGCGCCGAGGCGGAGCGGCGGAGGATGCCCCTGAAGTTATTTATAATGTCGGGCCGGCCGCTGGTGACGTAGCGAGGAGTCCGGGCGGCGGGAGCGGCGGCGCGCTTCGTTGGCTTCCCCGCCGGGCCTGCGCCGCGATGGAGAGAGCCGGGCCGGCGCCTCAGCCGGAGCCGGACTCCGGCGGCGCGTGCTGAGGGCGGGAGCGCGGCGGCGGCGGCGGCGGCGGCCCCGGAGAGCCGGCGAGAGCCGTAGGTGAGGGGGCGGGGACCTGCCCGGCCCGCGCGCCTCGTGCCGCCCCCCCGCGGAGGTCGATAGGTCCGAGGGCCCGGGCCGCCCGTTCCGCGCCGCCAGGGCTCGCGCCTGCTCCCCCGCCCCCGGGAAGGGAATAGGTTGCGGGGCGCACGGGCGCCTCCCTCGCCCGCGCGCGCGCCTCGCGCCTCTTGCCGCCCCAAGGGGGGCAGGTCAGTAGGTGAGGGGGCGGAGGCCCCTTCCCTGCTTCCCCCCCGTGGCGCATCGGCGCGGGGAGGCCCGGCCCGGCCCGAGCCCCTGCGCCCCGGGGGCTCTGCGGGGCGGCAGGAGGGCAATAGGGCGCGGGGCAGAGGCGCGGGGGCCCCCTTCCCCTTCCCCCTCAGCCGGCTGCGGCTCCTGGCCGCTCCCCCGCGGGCGCCGCTTGGGGCACAAAGGCGTCGCTCTCCCCGGTCGGAGCTGGAAGCCACGCGCCCTCCGCGCCTGTTCCCCTTCGGGAGCTGCGCAGGAAAGAGGAAGGGGGTTCGGGGGTGAAGGAGCCCGTTTCTGCCTGCTTTCTGAGGGGAGGGTTGTTTTGCGGGGGTTGCTATCAGGCTTCCCTCCTTCCCTCTCTTCCTTCCCTGCCCTTATGGGAAGAGGGGGATGCCCTCGCGGCCTCTCTTCTCCGGGCCACGCCTGAGCAGTACCTCTGGGGGTGAAGGAAATGGGTCTGGAAGAGGGAAGCAGACTCCCCCCACTTCTCAGCGTTGCACTGCTGCGGACATATTGCAAACATGGAAACAAAGCTGGTCAGAAGGGGTCTCCCGGGCCATCTAGTCTGACCCCCAGCTCCAGCCAGCTCCGCTCATGTAATCCCCAACTAAATTTTGGGGATTACGTTAAATTGCACGTGTTCTCCGGGCTGGAAGAAGCGATCAATAAGTTGCTTAGTGGGCTTTCCATGGTCCGTGGGCTTTCTTGGGTGCCTGTCATTCCAGCCTTGCACTGAGGTCCTCTTCATCTTTCCCTTTTTCCTCTGGGTGAGTGTGAAACCCTACTAGGACCTTACTGTAGTATCAGTTTTTTGCACCACTTCCTAAGAAAGGAATTAGTAGGTTGCAGGGGGGCATGAGCTTGCTCCTCAACCTCTGACTTTGGCTCTTCTTTATACCCCTCTCCCCTTGGTGGGGCAGTTAACAGGTTCAGCATCACTGGGACAATCCACATCCCCCATTAGATTCTGCTTCTCAGCAGTAGCCTCCAGACAGTGGAACAATCTCTGCCTTGAGACTAGCCTGGCACCAAATTCTGTCCCTTTCTCAGTGCCAGATTAAGCATTTTAAAACATAATTTAATGGCTTGGTGGTGGGGGTACTAGCTTAAGTATTTATTTATTTATTTATTAAACTTTTTCTGTACCATGGTTCATGAAAAATCTCATGATGGTTTACAAAATTTACACAGGTCAGCTTAGGATCCCATATTGTTTTAGCTGCTCAATTTATAATGTTAATAATTGGGAGCAGTTTGGTGCTGTTGTATTGGCTTATGGTCAAGTTTCAAGAACTGTTGCAAGCCACCCAGAGAACTTCAGCTATTTGGCCATGTAGAAATGAAAGTAAATAAAGGTAATAATATTTTGTTCTCACTGTTAACTCCTGATCTTTTATTAGCTCCTTAGCTGCATGGGGGCCAGGCAGCATTGAGCATGTGGGCTTAAGTAGCAGCTTCCCTTTCATGTTTATTTCAGTGGTTGGATTCTGTTCTCTTTTACAGCCGTAGGGAGCCAGAGAGACATGTAGGAAGGGAGAATGGGTCCCCAAAGCAGTGGGTGTTAGTTAGCCTCCCCTCATTGATGCTCTGGCCCAGCTTGCCCATCCAAGAAAGAGAGAGGACCAAGATAATATGGGTTGGGGAGGAAGGGATTCCCCCTCACTGTCTCCCCACCTAATGGATGGGATGGGTGGTATCAGGTGTCACATGTGGAAGAAGTTGGGGGGGGGCAGGGAGCAAACAGGTACGAGGGCAGAAATTCTTCCTGTAAGTGGACTTTTCTCTCAGCCACTTCCTCATGTGTGGGTTCTGCATCCCTTCCTCCTCACCTTTTGATTGCAGCCATCTTTTCTCTTTCCCAGAGGATGGGGAAGGGCATGCTGGTCTTGGGACGCACCCCTCCCTTGCCGTCTTTGGGGGTGGCCGGCGTTTACTCCATGCTTGAGAAAGGAGCTGGCGGGCAAGGCCTTCCAGCTGGCCCAGGAGCGAGCGGCTGCGAACATCTGTGTCTTGTCCAGTGGCAGACCTTCTGACCCTATATTTGCTGCTCTTCTCCCTTCACAGGCAAGGTGTGTTTAAGTATCCTGGGAAGTTAGATCTCATCCACTGCACCTGGAAACATCAGGCTAGACTCTTCCATCTTGTATCCGTGCCTGGAATGGAAAGAAATAGATAACTGTCTTCGTGTTCTCCAAAGGATTTGTCTCCCCTTGCCCCTGGAAAGGGGGCAAGGGGGTGTCTTGGAGGGGTGGAACGCCCACCTCACCTGGAAGGGCACCTGGCTTGGTTCACTCCTGGCCTGTGCATCCTTGGCTCCAGGGTTTCCTCTGTTTTGCATTTTCCTCGTGGAGCTTATTCCACCGGGATAGACAATGCCGTGACCGGCCGCAACGCTTTCCGCCCACCAGCCCCGCAAACCGCGCACCAGAGAGTTGAGCTCGTGGGGCTGGAGGACGCAACATGGCTGGCAGTGGCTACACAGACCTACGAGAGAAGCTCAAATCGATGATGCCTTACCGGGACAACTACAAGAGCGGCAGCACGCGGGACCCGGCGGAGCCCCCCTACGCGGGTGGGGGCGGAGCTGCCGAGCGCAAGCGCAAGTACCACGAGGAGTCGGACTCGGAGTCCAGCGACGGCGAGGAGCACCAGCGCGAGGAGGAAGAGGCCCAGAAGGTGAAAAGCGGCATCCAGCAGCTCCGGCTCTTCAGCCCCGAGGAGTGCGCCAAGATCGAAGCCCGCATCGACGAAGTGGTCTCCCGGGCCGAGAAGGGCCTTTACAAAGAGCACACGGTGGACAGGGCCCCTCTCCGCAACAAGTACTTCTTTGGGGAGGGCTACACATACGGGTCTCAGTTGCAAAGGCGGGGCCCTGGCCAGGAGCGGCTTTACCCGCGCGGGGACGTGGACCCCATTCCCGAGTGGGTCCACGCGCTCGTCATCCGCAAGCTGGTGGAGCGGCGGGTGATCCCCGAGGGCTTTGTGAACAGTGCCGTGATCAACGACTACCAGCCCGGAGGCTGCATCGTCTCCCACGTGGACCCCATCCACATCTTCGAGAGGCCCATCGTCTCCGTGTCGTTCTTCAGTGACTCGGCCCTCTGCTTCGGCTGCAAGTTCCAGTTCAAGCCGATCCGGGTCTCCGAGCCAGTCTTCTTCCTGCCTGTGAGAAGAGGCAGCGTGACCGTGCTCAGGTAGGGAACGTGCCGGGCGGCGCGGCTCTCCCCGTCTCGGCCAGTTGCGGCTCCAGCACTGTTTGCCTTTTCAGGGAGCGTGGCAAGAGGCCCACATGTTGCCACACAGTCTTGTTTTATGACCCTTGCCCATGTTTTGCAAACACCTTTTGGGGAGCAGAGCCAGAGGGAGAGTGGCCAACCCATGCATGCTCTCTGAAGCTTTTCCAGTGGTCATCTAATGATTCATAGGATGTTTCGGATTTTTTTCCCGGTTCCTCAATGACAATACCTCTAATGGAGGATGAGTTTCAAGTTTCTTCGTTAATATTTGTCTTAGCAAGGTGCACTTGCAGGAGGGGTTGGAGCTGTTCTGGAGGCATTCTGTTTGTGTGCAAAGGAGCATGAGCCAGTCGAGGTGAATGAATACGCCGCTCTGAGTATGCCCCATGGTGCCCATGGGCTCCTCAGCTGATAAAAAGGTTGTGGGATGGTTTCCTTGGGAACAGGAACTTGAAAAACCGTTGAGGCAGGATTCATAAGAGCGGTGGGGGGAATTTGTTTGGAAGCAGAGTGGATTGAAGTTGGGCTTGGGATAAACCCCACCCAATTTCCCTGTGTTTTGAACAGAAATTTTGAAGTAATACCCTTGTTTTGAGTTTCCCAAGTCAGAAAAAATGGTGGTCGAACAAAAGTGAAAGGTAGAAGTTTCCCCGTTTGTCCCAGAGAGCAGGAAATCCATCAAAGTAATGAATGTGTCGGGGGAAATAGAAAGTTACACAATTGACCCGACAGCTGGAGTCAACGTCAGCCACAGCGTGACTTGTTTGGAAGGGGTGTGTTAGCGCTTTTGCCTCCTTGATGGCACCTTCCTTGCAGCTCAAGTTGAAAACTGGCCTGCAGCAAAGTTACTGTCTGCATAAAGGTAAAGGTTTCCCCACGACATTAAAGTCCAGTCATGCCTGACTCTCGGGGGCGGTGCTCCTCTCCGTTTCCTGGCCGAGGGAGCCAGCATTTGTCCGCAGACGGTCTCCGTGGTCATGTGGCCGGCATGACTAAACACCGAGGTGCACGGAATGCTGTTACATAGAAAATACAAATTGATTTGAGAGTCATGTGCTCGCAGCCAGCTCTCCACAGGAGCATTTAAAAGACACAACCCAAATACAAGCTTTATAATGTACTCTGCCTGTCATGCTAAGCCTTGAACTTGCTTAATGCGGAATTGGCACGCGCCTTTGCCCATGTGGCTCCGTCGGAGAGCTCTCACCCTGCAGTGGATGATGTACATTTATGGCACAACTGTCGACATGTTTAGACAGGGGGGGAAAAATGCCCCGCAGCCCCCAGCACGCTAACCAGGGAACGTGAGAGTGGCACGATGCCTTTTCCGTCTAAACATGCCCAGGATTGGGTTTTTATTTGCAATTTACTGCCAGCTGTCTAGGCACTAGGCACTTGCAAATAGGCTTCATGGAAGCGTGGGGCCTTTAAGACACACCTTTATTTTCGAGTCCACGCCACCCCGCTTTGTGCACGGCTGCCTGCGCGCTGAGGTGTTGGCTTACCCTTTTCCGGCAGGCTGAATATGGTAATTTAGCAGAGCTCTCCAAAGCAGTTTCCACTGGCTGCAAAGCTAGGAGTGCTGTTGAGCAGCTCATGGTGCTGTTTTTCCCTACAAGTCCGCCGCTCTCTGGCCCTGCTTCCTTGTCTCAGAAGCTGACACTGGGCACGTAGTCTAGTCTTGCCCGTGAAAGCCTCTCCTCCAGGTGGTAGGTGTAAAAGGGTGGGAGAAGTTGGGTCCAGGATAAGCTTGTGATGGGCTGTATTTTTAGCCTTCTAAGCCAAAGGCAGCTCCCTGCCAGAATGAGTCAAACCCCCTTAATGGTTCGGTGTTGCCATGGCAAAGGGAGGGCAACCGACGGTTTTTGGTCTGAGGAGAAAATGCCTCTGCCAGTCTGAAAAGCTCGTCTAGGGGGTAATGCGATCCTCCGTGTGCGGTTGTAAGGCAATCGCCACATGAGGCAGGAAGGAAAATCTCTCCCTCACACAAACAGAGCCTTACACAATAGTCCAGGTGCATTAATAATAGAGACGAGAGTGCAAGGCATTCTCTCCAAAGAGTCTTGCACACTTTAACTAAGGCTCACACAGAAGTCCATGTGGGCAAGAACTCTTCGGAAGGGGCTGAGCCACTCTGGGAAAAAGGAATTGCAACTTTGACTGGTGCATTTTGGTAGGTTAGGTGGCCTCAGGCATGCAATAACCGGAAATGCTTTTGTCAGACCCCGTGTGTGTGTGTGTGTGTGTGTGTGTGTGTGTGTGTGTGTGTGTACATGTACATGTCACTTCCATAAACAGACCATAGATATGGCCAACTTAGAGCTGACGCTTGGAGCTGATTGGTGCATAATAATGCCGGCAGCCTGAAATTAACGTCGGTTGCTGACCTGGCTCCGGTTTCACGCACCTGCAGTGGTGCAGTTGATGCACGAAATGACGCGCGAGTCCAGCATGACTCTTGGCACAGCAGTCCCACTTCTGCTGCTTCAGTGGCTCTGGGGACACCGGTGCCACGGTCCAGGGGACATGGGACTCGCCCGCCTGGCCGTGTGTGTCTGTGTGACGCAGCTGTGATCCAGGAAGGGTGAGGAGGAAGCTGGGCCTGAGCAGCCCCTTCCTGGTTGTCTCCTCTGGCCTCATGGAGGTCATTCTTACTTGCCACGGGTACCCAGGCAAGCCGCTTTGCACAGGCCTTGCTTGGCCTGCTTCTTTGGACGGCAGGCTGCCCTGCGCCTGGAGCCTTCCGCGGCCGTGCAGAGCTACCAAGCTCCCCCTGTGCCTCAGAGTTTCCACGGTGGAGTAAAGTAGCAGGCATTCTGGACTACCTGTCCACAGGAGCCTTTGCTGAGTGTGTACAGCACACCACTCTGGATGAAGCGGGCCCCGGCATCCCCTCTTCCAGTTCACTGGAAGCGTTCCACGAGGCCCCTTCTAGGCGCAGAAGCTGTCTGAAGCGGGAACAGGCGGGCACGGCATCACCAAGCGCTTTGCCATCGTTGTGGCTGGTCGGATGGCCTCCAAGGAAGGAGGTGGCCTTGGGCAGACGACATGCTGTAGCCATGGCGGTTGCTCCAGTTGGCGTGCCGTGGCTCCTAAGCCCTTGAGCATTAACTCAAAAGCGGCCTAGCCAGGAAGACTGCTGGGCAGAGTGGGGGCTGGCCAGAATACTGCGTGAGCAGCTAGCACTTCCGTTTTTTCTGGGTGTTTCCAGAATGGGGGAGGCTGGTGCTTCCCATCACGGGTGCGCTGGATCTCACACCGTGGTCGGGGAGGACGTGCGCCATCCTAAGTGCAGCTGCAGCTGGGGGACCTGGAGACGCCGGCGTAGCCCAGTGGGAGCAGCACGCGAGTTGCAGCAGCACGACTCTTCATGCTGCTTGGTCAGAGGCACCTCTTGGCAGCTCTGCGTTCTGCCGAAGTCAGAGGGACCTGCCTTGTTCACTTTGCAGTAGCCCCGCATGCCGCTGTGCCTGGATTCGATTGCCATCCCTGCTCCTCCGTCTCTGACAGTGACCCCTCCTGATTTTTCAGCGCATGGCTCCATGCGATTCTAAGTAATGCTTACAAGGTAGGCTAGTGAGCTGGGTTGTGTGCTTGGAGTTTGCACCTCAGATGGGAAGCAAAGAATCTGTAAGAGGTACTTTAGGCACTACAAGGAGGTGCAGGGAAGGGGGTGGGGAGTTGGTGGCGCTTCCTGCATGCCTCCCCGCACAGCACTTTCAGTGATACCCAAACTTACTTTGGCCCCGGAGAGGGCTTGAAATAAGTTGACGGCATGCTCTCCCTCGGAGCCACAGGGATTGTTCTGTTCTTGTTTAGAGAATTCCTGGTAGGAAGTGTTCAGCCTGTCAGGTATGCACAGTTTGTACAGTGCTGATAAGACAGGGCGTAGAGTGCTTTATTTATTTTGCAAGAAGGGATTCCTCCACTGAGAAGAAATGAGAACAATTCAGTTCCCTTCCAGCAGAGGTTATCTACTGTACATCCTGGAATCTTCCACAGCCTAGCCATGCCGTAGCGGTCACCTTGTCCTGCTGAAGTAGATGATGTGGTCAGTTTTACGGTGCTGGATTATGCAGGGGAGGCCCGTGGCCTGTTTTGCAGTATAAACTAAAGCTGGCTTACCGTGTCTGTCCCAGTGAAATGCTTACGAGACCAGAGTGCCCACAAAGCGCAGCAGTTAGCTAGGGCTTAGCTTTACGGAAGTGCTTTACATCCTCAAGTACAGGCTTCAGTTCTCTGGAGGAAGCTGCCCAGATCCTGTGATCCATCACCTGAAGGGGCCCCTAACTTCTGAGGCACAGCACGTAGCCGTGGGAGGAAGGGGGCCCTTCGGCCACGGAACATTCTCTCCAGGACTCCCACCTGCCCCCTGCTCTGATTCAGCCGCACATCAGGCAAACACTACTTCATTTTCATCAGCCTTTTAACCTACATTAGCTTCCTGTTCGCTCCAAGCTGCTTTGTCTCAGCTAAGTGATGCTATGCTACTTTTATCTCAGTTTTTTAGATATATTGTATTATGCGTCACCTGTTTATCATTTGACTAGGTGAGCAATGCAAGAAATTCATTGAAGGGGAGGATGCAAACCCCTTCAAAGAAATAGAAAGCTAATGACTGCACCTTTTGTCTGGGAATTTCTGAAGTGGGATGTGGATTGTGGGAATTGTGCTCCATCCTCCCACTGGGAGAGCCCTAGGCCAGATGAGACTGCTTCGGGCCATGCCAAAGCTTCAGCTTGGCCTCCAAGCCAAGGGGTGCCCCTTAACTATGGGCAAAGCCCCAAGCAGCTGGGCAATTACAGAATCAGTCTTTGGTCCTGCCCCAGCAAGACTCATCCGTGCCTTCATTTACTACTGCTTCTCAGCACCTGCTAGCTGCCCGTAGACCACAGTGCAAATGAGCATGTGCAGAGTGACTTGTCAGTACCACGTGCCCAGAGCGCTTTGGAGGCGTTTGCCAGGTTTCCTGGTCACAGGAGCCTGACCTCAGGTAGGCATGACGTGGGCCTCCCCTTGAATTTAGGGTGTTATGGCATTGCCTGGAATCTTCTTCCTCAGTGACCCTCTGATGGGGACAGCGTATAGCAGGCATACCTGCAGCCTTTCAGCACTGGTGTTGTTCTTGTCTCCCTCAGTGGCTACGCAGCTGATGAAATTACACACTGCATTCGACCACAGGATATCAAGGAGAGAAGAGCAGTCATCATTCTTAGGAAGTAAGTGGCAAATGCTTACGGCGGAAGCCAGTCTGCGCACCCCCCGCCCCGTGAGTGCTGTGCACACCGCTCTGGAAATGGAGCCCGTCCTGGATAACAGGGCTGCATGGCAGGGGAGCTGCGTGCTACAGCCTGGGGAGTGGGGGGAGGAACGGGGGGGGAGGAACATGGTGGGGGACCCAGAAGCCGGGCTGGTGGAACCACCAAGAAAGCACCGAGCGTCTCTTTCAGTGCGAGAGCAAGTGGCAAGATGTGGAAGGCCCGCTTTGCTCCTAGCAGATTCCAGGAAGGACTTGCAAGCATCTTTCACTGTCCTGTTACTTTGGGGCAAGCTCTTCAGCCACTTAAGGTGCTGGGACATGCAGAGAGTTTTCCCCCAGTCTGAACTGGATCATTCAGAATTATCCCCATAGAATTTTGGGGAAGGTGTGTCTGAACAAAAACGTATAAAGTATCTCTGGACAGAAGCTATGCGAAGCACTGGAGCGTTTGATTCTCTGACCAACAGAAGTTCAGCTGAAGCTTCAGGGACTGCGCAGGACGCTTCCTCTACAAGCACTTCCGTTTCTCTCTTCCAGAACCAGACTAGACGCTCCCCGGTTGGAGACAAGGTCTCTGAGTAGCTCTGTGCTGGTGCCAGGCTATGCCTCTGACCGTCTGTCAGGAAGTAACCGGAACCCCATCCTGAAGCCAAAGAGGTCCCACCGCAAAGCAGACCCAGACGCTGCGCACCGGTAAGAGAACCCTCGCCAAGCGGGTGCAGCTGGGGATCTGTGTGTGCGTGTGCACACACACGAGTGCAGAGAGAGAAGAGGGGGTTCTTGCTGCAGTCGTTCAGCCACATCGCGTCCCAGGATGCGTTGACTTGCCTCGGGCGTATTTCTCTTTAGGTTTATGTGAATTGTGCACTTAGGACCTCCAGCGCTGGCGCCCAGATCTTTGTACTGACGCCCGGATTCTGGAATTAATAAATTATGTAAAAACAATAATCACTTCCACTTGCAAAACTAAGTTTTGGGTTGGAATCTGTGGCTGGAGCTGGGCGTGTTGCTGAGAGCAAAGCCTCATTGCTCCATCCCTTGTGGGGGTGAAGTGGAAGAGGAGCCCAACACGCCCCTGGGAATTCTCCAGCTGGCTCTTTGGACCTTAACCATCGCTGCTTGCCCTCGGCCTCTGCGACAGAGGTCAGGGGAGGAGTCCAGGCAAATGAGTCCAAATGTGCTTCGCACACTGTACCAGATCAAAGTGGAAGGAAGGTGGTTCAACTTCAGCTGTGTTGTACATCTCTTTAATCCTCCCCCTTGGGCCTGGCTTGTCTTTTTGTCCTTAGACCTCGAATTTTAGAAATGGATAAAGAAGAGAACAGGCGCTCAGTCCTCTTACCGAAACACAGGAGGAGAAGTCATTTCAGCTCTGAGAACTATTGGCGGAAGTCTTACGAGTATACGGAGGACTTTGATGAGGAGGAGGAGGAGGATGGGAGTCCAGCCCGGAAAGTGAAAATGAGGCGGCATTGAGGGAGTCTGTTCTTTCGCCCCGCCAGGATCTTAGAGGTGACGAGACTAGCTTTCAGGCTGTGAAATGGTCTCTCTTTGCCCCTCTCATCCAGTCCCTCCTTGGCCGAGTCTCATCTAGCTTCAAGTTTGTATTTTCCTTGCCCACCTTTTAGGCTGAAGAGTAGCTGGAACAAACCTGGCTTTGTTTTCTTCTTCTTGTTTAACAGAGGCATCCATATCAATCTGGATGTTTCTGGTCCCGCTTGCCTCCTTTTTCCTGGGCAGTTGGGGCACGCTTCACAGCGGAGGCTATTTTTTTTTAAGGAAAAAAAAGCTATGTCATTTCTGGAGGTGTTTGGGCTGGAGTAGGTTTCGAAGATGCCAAAAACTGACGTGTTTTGAGTTTGCTGAAGGGTTACGAATATTCTTTTGTGTTTGATGCCGCTGCTTCTTAAAAAACATTCTAAACACAGCATTCGATTCGCTGCACACGTGGTGAAGCACTCTCCACAGCACCGTCTCGCTCCATTCCACACCAAAGGGCTCCTAATTTCCGAAACCAATTACCGTGTGAAGTTCTTTTTTTTTTTTTTTCCTTTTGCTCTCCTTCAGAAAGCTGCTTCCCTCCAGCAACTGGAAATCTAAAGCTTTGCAAACACCTCTTGACAACACCAGATGACAAAGCATTTAGGACATGTTGCACTTTAGTGTCAGGGTTTATCCCCCCGCCCCTTTTTGTGTGTTCTGTGAAATGCCATATAATTTTCCCCAACCCCATGACTTGCTTGGGCTAGTGAGCATCTGTGTTTCCTGCGCTGCTAATGAAAAGGATACAGTCTGTTTTCTCTTTCTGTGAAGGATGCTCAGCGGTTCCGTGTTGGGGCTGCCATTTGAGGGCTCATGAGGGGTGGGCGGGAGCGACTCTCGGAGGGGGGAACAGCTTGGCCAGAAACCCCAGGTTCTGGGGGATCCTTCACACTAACAGCATGGGGCACAGTGCACGGAGGTCTCCAGGCCCGCCTGGCAGCGAAGCGGGGCACGCGCGAGTGCCGGCCGAGGAGACCACCCCCCTGCATTGTCCCTGCACCGCGTGTGGACGTTTGCGTGTCCTGTTTCGATTGGCTTCCCCCCGCCTCTCCGTTTTAGAAAGTAAGGCGTTGCCGGTTCTGTTCTCTCTCCCGCTGCTTGCAAATCCATCTCGTGCAGCTGTTTTCCGAAAGGCAGGGGGCCAAGTTAGCGCGCAGGGTTGGGATGGGAAACCTGGTGGAAAGGCGTCTCTCTGGTGGGCCCCTGACGATGGGGGCTTGGGATTGCCACGTGACCGTGGGGACCGGTTCTCGTGGCTGCAGGAGGGCTCGGGCAGTCCTTGCCACGCGGGAGGCCGGAGTGGGGGCGAACTGGCAGGCCACACTCCAGTGCCTTCAGGCGGTGGGTCCAGCCTGCTTTGCCATCACGAGCCTTCCGCTCAAGATCTGTGAGTCCTCCTGCCTGGCTCGGCCAGCTCTCGAACGCGCCGAGCTTCCTGCTTGAACAGGCCTTGAAAAGCAGCCCGGTTGCCCTCAAAATGTTCAGGGATGAAATGTCAGGTCGTCCTAGCGGCCGTACCCCTTTTCCTCCCCCGTGCCTCAGCCTGAAGGAGTCGGAATGTGAGTTTTAATTGCTTAAACCTCCCAGCTTCCTCGCATCGCCCAACCCCGTTGCCCCACTCCGCACTCTCTGAATTCAGCACTTTGCACTAAAGTTGTCAATGCAACCAGTCTCTTCTGAAGTAGCTTTAACTCTCTCTGCCCTGCACTCAGATGCAAGGGACTTGGAGTCCCCCCCGCCCCGCTGCATCAGCACCCCAGCTGCACGCACCTTTTTGCTCTGCCCCCTTGCCCGCCAGCACACGCAGAATTCTAGGAAGCCTCTGCACCGGGGAGGCCGTTCGGCCCCCATCGCGCGGCTCTTGCTGCTGCAGAGGAGCCATGGGAGTTGACCCCGGTAGCACTGCAGCTCGCTTGAAGCAGAGCGTCCCGACCTTCTGCTTCTCTTCGCCATCAGAGCAGCACCCGTGATTCCCGAGGGTCGTGGCTGCATAACGTGAAGCCTTCCTTCAGTGCTGTTGATGATGGGGCCACGGGGTGGATGCACTGACCTCGGTTTTAATATCCCCCGCCCCTTGCTCTGCTCTGGTGGTGTGGCTAGAATGGCGTGCAGGCAGAGCCCCGCACGGCACACGGAAAGGTTCCCAGAGACCTGTTCCGTGGGGTGGAACCACTCTGCTCCTGGTGTTGCAGGAGCCCCAGGCTGCCTGGGGCTTCTCCCTGGCGCGCCACCCAGTTTGGGCAAGGAAAGGAGAGGGAGGCCTGCTTACCTGACTTTCTTAAGGGCTCGGGAGTTTTATCAGATGCACAATCCGCAGCATCTCCTCCAGCCACTTGTTCTGTTCCAGCCCTCCCCGACCTGCTGCCTCCCGGATGTCATGGCCTCCAATCGCCGTCAGCCCCAGCCACCTTGGCAGGGGTCAGGAATCATGGGCGTCATTGTCCCAAGCACTCGGGGGGCACGGGTCAGGGAAGGCTGTTCTGGTCAAAGCATCTCCGCGGTTTCCCGCCACTTTGGAGCTTTATTTTCCTGCGTTTTTGTCCTGTTCTTAACGTTTTTCCTTTGCTTCGCGACTGGCGGGAGCCAGGACAAGTTCAGCCAGTGCCTGGCGGAAGCACCGGGTCCCGGCCTGCTCTCGGGGGGCAGAAGAACTCTGCCGCGTCGCAGCCCGAGCTGGTGCCTGGCAGTGGCGTGGCACGCTAGCTTTCGATTGACTTTTTTTGATCCCCCCTTTATGTCTCTGGCACCAGCAGGGTCCGCAAACTGCTTTCCAAGCATCTGGTAACCGTGGCAGAAAAGCTTGTAAGAAAGATCGCATCATTAGCGGGGGGGATCTGTTGCCTTACCAGCTTGTGCACCTGTCCAAAATTCTGGAACCGTCTGTCAGGAAAACCCATAGGGATGGGTGTGCTTGTCGGCTGCCCCCCAAGCGCTTGACTCCCTTGGGACGGCGTAGCGGGAAGGGGGCAAGGAGAAGTGCAGACACACTCCCTCTTCCCACAGACGCCGTTTCCCCAAGCAACATCGGGAATCGCGCTTTGACCCCGTTCGCAGGTACACGCTGCTGGGCTTCAGCAATTCACTCCACATTTATAAAAAGGAAACTGTTGATAAGATGACTTAATTCCTAGTTTTAATGCTGTTAGTGTGATGCTTAATAGCCACGGTTGCTGGAGGAAGGATTCAGCCTTAAGCTGCCGCCAGAAACCTCAGGCTTTGCATGGCATGAATCCATTTCCAGTGATTGCTGGCTGTTGAACTCGAGTCAGGAGGCAAAAGCGCCTATTTGCTCCGAGATGCACCTGGGTTTCTCCCCTTTGCACCCCCCTCCTCCCAAGCACACACTTTAAAATAAAGTTCTGGCTGACTTTTTTGTGTTTTTTTAAAAATAAATAAAATTCTAATTTTTTGTTACAAATAAAATAAGTGGCAATATTTTTTTTCTGTAATTTTTCATAGGAAAAAGTGTGATTTGTAAACAAATTGTACAGTTCTGAAGTTTGAGATACACAAAATAACCGTACTGCGTGGCACTCTGTAAATGGGGGGGAGGGGAGAGATTATTTTCCGTACAGTACAGTGTATTTGGGGAGAAATCTTTTAATTCGGGTTGATTTAGGAAGAACTATAGTTCCCTGTCAGGGTTTGAAATTTCTTTTTTTTTTTTTCTTGTATAGAATGCTGCATTTAACTAAATAAAAGCCGAAAGCATCACTTGATTCAGTCTGGTGTTTGGTTAATGTGCCTTTTTAACTGTAATAGCATTCCAGGAGTGGCATGTTCATTGTTATTCTTAAAAACAACCCTGTAAGGTAGGTCAGTGCATCACATTACAGAAATGGGGTGAGAAGCAGGTAAGAATGGAATACCGGCCAAAGCGCTGACCTGGCAGAGGTGGATTTTGGGCAAAGGCTGGACGGGCCCAGTCATCATTCTTGTGCCCCCTGCAAGCATCTGCAGCCCAAGGACCCCCTTCCGTTTCAGAAAAGCTCTCTGGGGCCATGATCCGGCAGTGCTGGAGCTGTATGTTTGCGAGCCGCTCTGAGGCTTCGGCGAATGGGGCGGCATAGAAGTTTCCTAAATAAATAAAAATAAATAAATAAGAAGGCAGACCAGGAACACGGGCATGGTGTCGGCCGAGACTCGGGCTGCGCTTGCGAGGACGTCGGCTGTGCCTGCTCTCTCCTAAGCCGCCATGGCTTGCGTTACTTCATTACTTCGTTTTTGTACCTCCCAATAGCCGAGGCTCTCGGGGCAGTTAGCTCAAGTTAAGCAAAAGTTTAAGATTCACACCAAGTGTCTCTAAAAGAGCAAGACCATAATTGCGGTTGCAGTGGCTGCTATTCAGCACAGAAGCATCACATCCCTTGGACTGCACCCCTCTTGGCTTAGGCAGTGGGGGAGCCCGGGCTAGAACACATCCCTGGAGTGAGTTTTAATGCTGTTCTCCTCTGGGGAGCTCCGAGGCAAGTGAGAGCCACATCCCAGTCTTGTCTTCTTGCAGCGTTCCAGGCCCACGTTGTCCAGCGCACAAACTCCAGGACGGGGGGCGAGCTAGCCTGTCTTAACAACCAGATCCAGCCGGCTGGATTTCCGAAGAGGGGCGGCACCATTCCTTAGCGTTTCCCCTTCTGCCAGTCCTCTGGTGATTTCTCAGATCTTGTACACCTGCTTGAAAAGGCTTAAGGACCGGTAAAGAAACATTTAAAGCAACAGTGTGCCAATATTTTGGCCCCAGCCTTTTGCCTTCAGCTCAGCCCTCCACTGGAATCCCGCCCCCCACACCGAAAGACAAAAACGAGCTCTTGAACCCAGACCTGGGGCTTAAAGAGATTCCACACTTTAAAAAGCAAACCTGGGTCCTGTGTTACCCTCTTAACCCACAAGATGGTGCAAAAGGCAAAGTCAAGATTCGTGATGGTGCTTGTGGGGGGGGGGGGGGTGTGGATGTGAGGCCAAGAGGTGCAAAACCTCACATTGCAGATCAGGTAAAGTGGCGTTGCAGAAGGGAGGGGAAGATTCTTGGAGAAAGCCTGCTCTTCTGCCAGAGAGGCCCTGGCTTTGTAAAAATAGCAAATAGCCTTGAGTGTATGGGCAATGCCTACTAGAAAGGAAAAATAATCCGAAGGCCAAGAAGCCTAGAGTAATACTTGGTGTTAATAAGGTCTTTTTTTTCCTCCTGGGATCAGTGCAGTGAATTATGCAGCTTTAAAGCGAACACTGAAAAACCAGACGACCCCAGGACTTACTAATAAATTAAAAGTCCCCCATAACTTTTCTCCTAATTTTGATTTTGAGAATACAGCATCAAGAAATCACTTTCAACTTCAGCAGTACTTCTAAAGGAAACTTTTATCTCTGCCTCATTCAAATTTTTTTACAGAGGGCTCAAACGATGGTCATCTTGCATTTGTGGCCATCCCAAGACTTCCCACAGTTTCTTCCATTTTTCCCCTTATTTCTAGGGCGGAGAGAAATTAGCAAGGAAGAAAAGATGGAGGTATGCGCAGTCTTTAAATGACATTAGCAGTCATTAAAAAACGCACACAGAGATCTGCAGTGTAACCTTTGGTCCCTCTGCTATCCAAAGAGTCGTCCCTGGGATTGAAAACAGTTTGAGTGACTGATGAGCACCTTGGGAAAAAAGCGGTGGAGTGAAAGCCGTGCTCGAGTGTCTTTAATTAGCTGACCTTTGCTGCGATCAAAGTGGGTCACTGGCCCTTCTCTCCACGGGGAGCAGCACCTCCAGGGGATGATGGAGCACGTGGGTTCCCGGCTTGTGTCACGTGGTGGTGAGCACTGGACTGGGGACCCGGGCGATGCAAGTTTCAGCTGTGTGGTTCCCTGGGAGATTTGGGCCGGGTGCAAACTCTGAGCCGAGCCTAATTCGCAGGATTATGCAGATAAATTAGAGCTATATAAGCTGCTTTCTTTGCAAGAGTGGAAAAAGCAACATATTATTCAATGTCATGTAAGAATGACTAAAAATGGCTGCATCTAGTATGTCGAGGGCAGAGCTGAGCTTACCAACACAAATATGCAAAAACGTAAGATGTTGAAATGAGCAGGAGGGCTAGAATTCGGGGATCGTAAGGACGCAGGAACTTGGCTGGCTGGAGTGGGAGGCAAGAAGCCTCCGTCACACACGCGTCCCTCAAAATCTATGGCTGAGCATCCTGAGGCCCGTGCAGTTAGTTCTGTAAAACAGAGAGAGCTTGGGAACTCCGGGGCAAGGGCACCAGCTGGACACGGGAGAGGGAGAACTGCAGGATCACAGCACAACGCTGGCTGCCCATGAGACGGCCGTGTCTGCGGCTAGAAACGGGTCATGCCTCACCCGGGGTATCCACAGAGCACTGGAGCGTGCTTTAGGCAGCACTTATAGGATCGATGTGCAAGTTCGTTTGTGGGGGCAAAGAGAACACGGAACATGATGCAAAGGCTGAGAGTTTTCAGGAGTGCCGTAAACAAGGAATTTGGCTTGCAGGATGGAGCACCAGGCTCTCCGTGTTTTCGCTGTGCAAAAGCCCTTCAAACGTCTTCATCCAATCTAACCAAGTAAGGTTCGCTGTTTCTTTTTCTGAATAACAAAAAACAACACACCCCTTTGGTAAGGACTGCGCGAGTTGTGTTCATGCTTTCATCAGAGTGTCAGCTTCTAACCTTCTCAGATGGTGGTGGACTAAGAATTATAATTAGCTTATTTCTTAGCTACCTTAATATATCAGTTTGGCCTCCTTTTTACTCTGCTTCTAATGATTAACCTTGTTTCCTAATAAAGACAACTGCAATTTGTGAGCAATTCAGTTAAAATTTAAATGCATGCAAAATGCATTCAGGCCCCATTCACAGAAGCTGCAATTAACGACAAACACACTCATCCTTGCCACGCTACGTTAATTAATATCTGGCGGTGGACCCAGAACCATTGTTTTATTCATCCCCGAACAGTTGGAATCAAACGTCTTTAAATTCCAGTTTTCAGTCAGACTGGAGGCTCCCTTTGCAGAAACATGTAACTTCCAGGTCATCTGTGAAGTGGCTCAGAGATAGAAATGTTCTCCCTGTGACTTCTGGAGCTTGCTGGAATTAATTATGCATTTGGAAGGCATACGGTGCGTCTGGACCGAGCCAAGGCCGGTGGGGGTGCTGCTGCATGCTAACGTTTTTGGCCAAAGAGCCAAATCGAGGTGCGGGTATTGTTTCCGTCGCTGCCTCTGGCTTGCCAGGACAAATACGGCTCCCACCGTCCCCGATCTCTCTTGAAACAAGCCACAGTCTCAGCCTCGGTCTTGCGCGGCTGGAGCCTCGTGCCTGCTCCCAGGCCCAGACAGGAGCTCGGGGGCCGGGGGGGGGGGTTCCTCATCCTCCGCACTGCTGGATTTGCCTTGGCGTTTCTCCGCGCTCTCCCCCTGCAGATGTCAAGCCTCATCCGTCAGAGACCGAGGCCCGCTGCGCCTTTCGCTTGACAGGCAGTTCCACCCCATTGAGAGAGGAACTGGGCTCTCAGTCTTGCGCTCCCTCCTGCTCCGCCGGCATCTCCGACGAACGGGGAAAGATCTTTGGCAACAGAGCTGGGCTCTGCGGACGTCCAGAACTGCATATGTGCAGGGTGTCTCCCAGCCATCAAGGGGTGTTAAGAATGAGCGAGTGCACATTGCTTGCCTCTTGCAAGACGACGGAGAGCACCACGATCGTGCCAAGGTGCAGCGTGACGATGTGGCAGCTGGCGTGTGTCGAGCGGCACAGGCCGAGAAGAGCGCATTCTGGGAGGTGGGGGTCCCTCCCGGCTGCAGGGCTGGTCTGTGAGGACTCAGCCCCAAACACACGTCACCCCTCGATGCCCATCCTGGCACCAGTGGGCTCCTGGCGGACCAGGCCCTGGCATCCCAGTTGGGCATATTCATGGACCTGGGCTCGCCACAGGGCTGGAATTTGCCCCGGGCTTTGGGTGCTTTTGGAGAGACGGCACCTGGGCATGCGGCTGATGTCTTAAGGTGAGGAAGGGGCACCTAGTACCCTTTCTCTCCTGCCCCATAGCCGGGTGCTCTTGACGCTGGCCTCTGCACCACCCCCCGAGTGAGGGAAATGACGCCGCTCCAGCGTGCCTGCACGGTTTTCCGCAGGGCATGCCTGCGATCGTGGCTCAGGACTTTCCAGAGCATGAGAGGAGTGGACAGAAATGTTCAGGCTGCGAGTTTGAGTTTCCCCTCCACCCACCTCCCTGATTTCGTTAGTGAGAGGGCTTAAGAATAGAAAGGGAGATTCATCCTTGCCTGGTGCTCTTTTTGGAAGGAAGGTGGGCAGAGGGAGAGAATGGAAATGTTTTCAGGACAGCTTGGCAGGCTGCTTCCCACCTGGCTCAGCTGCACCCCCAGGATTTTGAACAGGATGGCTGGTTTCTTGCCCCCAGGAGAAGAAAGGTCCTCACCTACCTCACAGGGGTGTTGTTGTTGTGAGGATACAACAGAGAAAAGGAGACCTTGCAAGCTACCTCTGGTTTCTTGCAAGAGGAAGAAAGCTGGGGTCTAAATTTAAAGTAAGAAGAAGGTCCTTCAGGTATTCCTGGGAGGACCCTGAGCTGGAGAAGCCTGGCGGAAACTTATCCATAAGCTGGGCCGGACGAAGGCCTTTCGTTTGGTGGAATATCAGTCTTTAAAAGGGCTATTTACTCCCCTCATGGATCCTGGCAGCCCCTGCTCAGCCGCACAGCTTGTGC